CGCCCCTTCACTGCTCGCACTCCTTTCCTTCAGTTTCTCTTCGCAACAATTTCTTTTCGTTCCCATCCTCCGGCTCCCTTCGCGTTCTGCCTGCATTTTCCAGCATTTTGTTTCCTCTCCAGTGCCTTCTTCATGCTGTTTCCCTTGCATTTCCCCTAAGCCCCTTGTTTCGCATCGCCAGCATGAATAGCATCATCCGCATCATCCGGGATGATGCTGGCAATGCTGGGGGTGTTGTCCAGTATTAGGCACCCCCTAAAAATGCTCGTTTTTGGGCGCTGCGGGGAGATGCTACAAAAATCGCCTAAACCAATCCGCAAATCCTTCGCCCCTTATAAGGGAGGGCCCAGCATAAAACGTATGCGCATGGTCCGCGCATGGTCGGCGGCATGGGGCGCGCGGCCTTATACCTGAAGGTAAGCCCTAACGGGCTTTGGCCTGCGGCCCGATCACGTCCGGTGGCCGGATTTAAGGGCTGCCGCCCAGTGCCGCCGACCCCTGGATTTAGTTGTGGTTTTCGAGCAACCAAAAACAGTGCCCTTGGTTTTGGTTTCTTTGGTTTCTTTTTGACCCAAATGGCATCTGAGGCGAGGTGCCGTGTCGACAGTGATGCGTAGTCATGATTATGATCATCGCTGCTGGAGATGCTGGGGATGCATAGTGATGATTATCCTCATGATTGCCAGAGATGCTGCGAATGATGCGTAGTGATGATTATCATCAAGGCAGGACTCCAAATCTCAATGACACAAATGGCATCTGAGGCGAGGTGCCGTTTCGATAATGATGCGTAGTCATGATCATCGCTGGGCACCCTTGGTAATGCAGAGGATGCTACGATGATAGTGATCCTTGGTAATGCAGAGGATGCTACGATGATAGTTATCATGACAGTCATCCGCAGCTTTGGTAATGCAGAGGATGCTACGATGATAGTTATCATAAGAGTCATCATCCTTATCATCTTCATGATGATTGTCATCCTAGTTATCGCCTTCATCATCGTCATCATGATTGTCTTCTATCATCATCCTTATCATCTTCATGATGATTGTCATCCCTCAATGAAGTCATATAAAACTCTGATGACAAACACACACTTTTAACCAGCCTGAGTAAACAAGTAATAATCAAATAATAACTTTATATTTCAATTGTGGCGTTAGGAACCTTTGGTAATGCAGAAGATGCTACGATGATAGTTATCATAAGAGTCATCATCCTTATCATCTTCATGATGATTGTCATCATAGTCATCGCCTTCATCATTGTTATCATGATCATCATCATCATCTCTTTCTTCTATCTCTTTCTTCTATCTTTCTTCTAGATACATTTCTTCAATTGTGGCGTTAGGCACCCTTGGTAATGCAGAGAATGCTACGATGATAGTTATCATGACAGTCATCCGCAGCTTTGGTAATGCAGAGGATGCTACGATGATAGTTATCATAAGAGTCATCATCCTTATCATCTTCATGATGATTGTCATCATAGTCATCGCCTTCATCATCGTCATCATCATTGTCATCATCAATTGTCACATCATCTCTTCTTCTATCTTTCTTCTATACTTCTACAAACATTTCAATTGCGGCGTTAGGCATCCTTGGTAATGCAGAGGATGCTACGATGATAGTTATCATGACAGTCATCCACAGCTTTGGTAATGCAGAGGATGTTACGATGATAGTTATCATAAGAGTCATCATCCTTATCATCTTCATGATGATTGTCATCATAGTCATCGCCTTCATCATTGTCATCATGATTGTCATCATTATCATCATCTCTTTCTTCTATCTTTCTTCTATATACAAAGATGAGGGCTGTGATGATATATATCATCGTAGCATCCTCGGCATCATTAGTGCCGGCTAACAAGAGATGATGATGATCATGATGATAGTGATGATAAGGATGAGGACTGTGATGATAACTATCATCGTAGCATCCTCGTCATTGCCAATGGGGTCTAACGTTACTTTTGAAATGCATACAAGAATCAGAATAAGAATGAGATGATGATGATCATCATGATGATGGTGAGAAGAGCGATGACATCATAATAAGGATGATCATGATGATGATTATGATGATAACTATCATAATAACACCCTTTGCATCACCAGTGCTGCCTAATAAGAGATGATGATGACATCCTCGGCATCACCAGTGCCGGCTAACAAGAGATGATGATAACCATGATGATAGTGATGATGAGGATGAGGACTGTGATGATAAGTATCGTCGTAGCATCCTCTGCATTGCCAATGGGGTCTAACGTTACTTTTGAAATGCATATAAGAATAAGAACAAGAATGAGATGATGATGATCATCATGATGATGATGAGAAGAGCGATGACATCATAATAAGGATGATCATGATGATGATTATGATGGAGCCAAGAGATATCATGCCTAACGCCACGATTGAAATGTATATAGAAGAAAGATAGAAGAAACAGATGATGATGATGATGATGACACTCATGATGACGATGATGCAGGCGATGACTGTGTGATAACTATCATCGTAACACCCTTTGCATCACCAGTGCTGCCTAATAAGAGATGGTGATGACCGTGATGATACTGATGACAAGGATGAGGACTGTGATGATAACTATCATCGTAGCATCCTCGGCATCATCAGTGCCGGCCAACAAGAGATGATGATGACCATGATGATAGTGATGATAAGGATGAGGACTGTGATGATAACTATCATCGTAGCATCCTCTGCATTGCCAATGGGGCCTGACGTTACTTTTGAAATGCATATAAGAATAAGAATAAGAATGAGATGAAGATGATCATCATGATGATGATTATGATGACAACTATCATCATAACACCCTTTGCATCACCAGTGCTGCCTAATAAGAGATGATGATGACATCCTCGGCATCACCAGTGCCGGCTAATAAGAGATGATGATGTTGAAGGATATAGAAATGATGATGATGATGTTGACGATAAGAATGATGAAGGATCATATCGATGATGATGATGATGATGATGATGGGCATCCGTATGATGCCAGTAGTCATATGCTTGCCTCAAAGATTAATCCATGCGCTTGTACTGCAACCACCCTTCCCGTGCGCCTCCCCTTTGAGGAGAAGGGGTCGGCGGATAGTGAACTCACCGAATAGGTAGTCAAACAAGCTCGCTCACGAGATCGCTTACGTTGGGATTCCCTTATTTCCGGTTTGTGAATTACAGCAACTAGCCTGCTTCAATGAGGACCATTCAACACTTGTAGGTGGACATCTCACTTTAAAGCGCTAGGTTGCGGACAACAACTGTTTCTCACAACCCCCCTAAAGAAACAATCAACTGGATGGGCTCAGGTTTACACTAATTTGAGAGTAGATGGCTCAACCCCAATCGCAAAAAACGGTAGATGGCACATCGGGTCGGGGTGTCGTTTTTCAATACTAGATGGCGCGAGTCTTTCTGAAAGCTGGAACGGAGCCATCTATGATCGACAAAAATCGATATCACATTTCAATAACCTGCGCCATCTACTTTTGACAGCCTATCATTGGTATGTTTCTGAGGTCGTTGAGTACAAATGTGTGTATTGCCAAAAGTAAATTATATTGCCAGTAGTAGAAATAGTATTGCCGGTACTAAATGTAGTGTTGCCAATACTAGATTTAGTGTTGCTGGTACTTATTGTAGCATTGCCAATATTTAATTTAGCATGCACATACTGATTTCAGTACTGCCAATACAAGTGCTACACTTAGCATTGTTCTATCTTTGTGTGTGCCCTGCAAAATAAGCGGTCTAAGGAAAGATGGACACTTTGAAAGTGCACGCGCTGTGCAAAGCGAACCCTCCGAAAACTCACTTTCAATAATAGCCAGGACCAAATGTCGTATTGTCAGTATCAGATTTAGTATCAGCACCAAACTTGGTATTGCCAGTTCTAAATGTTGTATTACCACCACTCCCTTGCGCATTCGTGCGAAAATGTTTTTTGTCCCTGGCCACTGCCACCCAAGCCGGGTGATTCTGACCCAGAAAAACCGGAAAGAGTTGTGCCATCTACTCCGGTCAGAAATGTCCGATAATTATCCGAAAATTGATAATCTCTGCTTGTCAATAGTAGATGGCACTCCTCATTTCTCGAGCCATCTACTCAAATCAGAGTATGTCAGGAAACACCCCAAGAGCGCCTTTGCAGACAGATCCTAATTGGGTGTGAGTCTTGACCATGCCTGGACTTGGTTGGACATCATTGTCAAGGGAATGTACGTCAGGAAGCCAAGTTTGTTTGGTAGCCTATGTCACAAAGTACTCAAGTGAAGTTGCATTGGTGTGGATTTGTTTAGGGAGGACCCTTGGCTGGACATTTGCACGTGGACTTTGATAGTGGTAAGACAATTGGGCCAGAAAAGGTAACTGCTATCTCCGAGAGGGTTCCCTAGTTCAGGAGACACACACTTGGATGCTAAGCAATCAGTGTTGGGAGCCGGTTTCCCTTATGTCCGCTTTGAAAGTCGTACCAAATTAAATGACTTCTTTGTCACGCCCACTTGGAGTTTCCCAATGTGGACGATTCCTCTCGACTTGGCTCCGTGCACACTGGTTTCGAGCTTGAGCAGCTAGCAGCCAGCTCTCCACTCTGCGCACAAAGCCAATTCCCATCGTTTTGTGTTTTTTTTTTACTAGGTGGCTCTACCTGCCGTAGTATGGTATGATAACCTTTACAAACTTGTTGGTGGTTCTAAAACTCAATGGGCTCTGGGTGCTTGCATGCTTTGGAGTAAGTACCCCTTGATACCCCTTGTATGAAATATGTTTGTATAGCAGCCATGAATCCACTACATAGCTGGGCCTTGGCGGTGTATGCAAGGTTTAGCCCACGTATTCACTACCGGGTTACAACACTTACGACAAGGACCGCGATTCCCAGAGCTACTCGTACCAATTGGATTCCTCTTCCGGCCTGGCGTTGAGGATCCTAGGGGCTGCTCGACCTGAGGTCTTCCTGCGGGCCATGTGCTTTGGACAAAGGCCCGCGCGTCGCGCGTCGCGCCTCGGGGATGCAGTTGGCCCGCTCGCCGAATGAACCTTTGGAGGAGAATTGAAGGAGTCTCGCATGAGATGACCAAAGAAACCCGGGGGTTTGGGGATGACTCCGCAGAAAGCCAAGAGGACAAAGCTTCATATCCGTTGGGATCTCCTCCCAGATGTTTGTGTACTTTAGGGTTGATAAGCAGAATTTGAACATATGATTTTCTGTGTACTCCAGACTTGGCAAGGTTTGGGGAGCTTCCATTTTTGCGAGCTGCTCGGAAGGTGTCATGGAGTCTGACGAGCTCAAGGAAATGCGGCAGGGCATGCTCAAGCGGCTTCTCGGGCTCATGCAGGAGAGCGGAAGCGTGCAGGAAATGGCTATCTCTCTCCGAACCGGCCAGCCCTTATGCAAAGGGGTCTCCAGAAAATGTGCCAGACAGATCGCTTTCCTTTCTTTTGCAACTTCTGAGTGATCCTTCCCTTTCCCCTTCCACCAGTTGCAAAAGTGTTTACTGTTCAGCCACATGGTGGCCGGGAACCAGGAGCTTTGGACTCATGCCCTTGACCAAATTCATGAAAGCGAACATGTAAAATCGTAGCATTGGGGGTGAACAACCAGCCAATCAACCAGAGAAGCAAAAAAGAAGCAAGCAAACAGACAACCCAAACGAGCAAACAAACAAACCACGACCAGTTAAAGCTTCACACTGCTTGGCGCTCGGATCGATTCGGATCGATCCGTGTAGGCGCCTTCGGTCGGATAACGGGGACGAAGACGAGGCTGGAGGTCGCCCTGGATCCCAGGCGCGGAGCGATTTGGATGCAGCTCTCAAATTAGTTGGATCTTTTCTTGACATGGGTGTGGCTCAAGATTAAACTGCTGGGCTTACGGTATAGATTTTTGTTGCATGTACCCTGCCATGTTGGCAACAGCCATATTGGTGTTTTGTTTGTTCGCTTGTTTGGTTGTCGCTTGGTGCTTGGTTGGTTAGTTGCTTGTTTGTGTCGTTTGTGGGTATGGTTATTTGTGTGTTTTGTTTCTTTGCCTGCCTGCCTGCCTGCCTGCCTGCCTGTCTGCTTGCTTGCTTGCTTGCTTGCCTGCCTGCCTGCCTGCCTGCCTGCCTGCCTGCCTGTTTGCTTGTGTGTTTGGTTAGTTGGTTTGGTTTGGATTGGTTTAGGTTTCTTTGTGTTGTGTTGAGTGTTCTTTGGTATTGTTTTGTTTGTGTCGGTGTGTGTGTTTAGTTCTTTATTGTTGGTTGTTGGTTGTTTCTGTATGCTGTTTTTTAGTTTGTATGTACTTGTTTCGTGTTGTTATTTCTTACTTTCTTTTCGTTGCTTCTGTCGTTGCTTGTTTTCGTTGTTTCTTTGAAACAAAATAAATAAATATGTTTCATGTTGTGTTCCTTTGTTTCTTACTTGATGTATGTCAAAAGTTCTGTCTGTCTTTCCCTCTTTCTGTCATTATTTGTGTGTGTCTTCTTTACTTTTCTTTATGGTGTTTCTTTCTTTGTTTCTGTTCTTTCTTTCTTTTTATTGCTTTATTGCTTTCTTTCTTTCTTTCTTTCTTTCTTTCTTTCTTTCTTTACGATTTAGTTGTTTTTTCCCGCTGCCATTGTGTTTATTTTTGTGGTGCTGAAGCTCACTGAGTGTACCGAATTCTAAGCATATGGCTTGGAGTTGGGTGCAGCGACTGAGGTAGCAAAAGCATTGGTCACCTGCACGGGGAATCCTCAAAGAACTGTAGGTTTTGAAAGATGCGCGGGCCCATGAAACGTGGACGAGTGCGTTTCACGAATCTTCCGCAGTAGTCCCATTTAAAACGCGCCCCTGCGAGGTCGGCCTCCAGCTTCGGCTCTCCTCCCGCGGCCCTGCCAGAGCCAAGCCGAGAGATTTCGAAGGCTTCGGCGGCCAATCACCAGTTGGGCCAGCCTTAAGGTCCGTTCCTCTCAATGTATTGAAAGGGGAAGCTTGGAACCCTGTTGGTAGAGCAAAGTTCTCCCGGTTTCTCTTGGTTGCCCCTTTCAGGGATGGCTGAGGCACTGGGAACGAAGTGCGGATCTTTGTTGACAAACCTTCGCAGGAAGTGAGGAATCTGACGAGTCAGTTCTGGAGCGGAGACATGTGAAGCCCGGTCTAGTCTATAGTCGAATTGGGAGCGACATGAGGGTTTTCGTAGGACCCAACATTTGTGTGCACCGCGGGAACTGCACGTTTTGCCAGGGAGCAGATGGGCTCACTTTCAATCGGAGACTGAGACATGGGACCCTTTTCCCCCAACCCCAAACTGTTTGTTGACTTCCATTTTACTTTTTAGTTTATGGGCAACGTTTGGAAAGCACAGCGGTGGCTTCAGGATCTTCCAAACGACCACTTCATTGAGACACAGGTGTTTCTCGTCTCCTTAACCCAAGAGGTTAAAACCGACCAACAACTGCTTGGCAGCCAAAAGCAGGACCCACCTTCCAAGGGCGAACAGGGGCGCGCAGGGGAGCGTTGGGAAGCATGTGATCAGCGCGAGGAGCAGTCGGCTCCGGCTTCCGGCCTCGTGCAGGCCTAAAAAAAGAGCTTTTTTGGAGGGTACGTTTTTTCTCCTTTTTTTTCCGGTTGGTTTAGAGGGAAGCCAATAGTAAAATGAGCATTCCGCTATTCAACATACCCTAGCCTTTTCCACCGGCAACCACTGTTTTTGTGGGTAGAACCCATGTTTGACCCCTCAAACTTTGTGCAACGTTGGTGGCAGGAACCGCAGATTACAAACCCAGATTTCATTGCTGGGTGGTGTTGATTTTTATAGATGGTCCCTCGCTCTGTTTTTTTTTTTTTTTTTTTTTTTTTTTTTTTTTTCGGGGGGGGGGGGGAGGCACCCCCAACCAAGAGTCCGCCAAGACTAAGTTTGGGTCAACATCACCATGGGCTTGATGTCATTGCAAAGGAGTGCTTTGGAGGTTGATCCTTTGGTTCTCCAACAATTACTCTTCAAGGTTGGCATCAGGGTTCTGGAAGATCTGGCCCTAACTTTCTGTGATACCTTGTTCTTACATACCTCCCCAGGTATGTAGCAAGTTGGGAAGCCCCCAATGTTTTGAGCAAACGTGGCTTGTTGCTACCCCTTGGTACATGTCAGCAGAGACACCAACAAGAACCTAGCGACCCCATTGAATTGTGAGTAAGCTGGATTGATTTTGTTCAAGAACTGTGTTTCCTTCAAAAAGCCTTTCTTCTTTATTGCATGCAGTCCTTCCCCCAAAGTCTCCCTTGCTTCGCTTCCTCTTGTCTTGTTTTGCTCCTCCTTATTATTTTGGCGTGTGCTTCTTGTTTCACTTGGCCTGATCTGAATCCACCTCTATTTGCCGCGGGCGAGAAGCACAGCTCATGACAGTTGGCCAGTGGATTTGATCGGTTCCTTCGGTCTGACAGATGACCAAACCACGAGGGCAATGGGGCCGAAGAATTAGCACGGGGTTGAAAAGCAAGTCAAGTCATGGTCATAAGGTAGTAATGTAGCAATTCCAGTCATGCGGTTTTTTGCCTTGTTATTAGAAATTTGGTAAACAATGTCCTTTGCTTTGGGGCCAACTTGTTTCAGGGTCCAACAGGAGCGACGGTGTCTGGTGATCACCTAAAGCGTTCAGAGGATGTCTCTTTTCAATTCCTGTTTGTTGGGTTGGTTCAAGCCTATGGAACTGACCAGTTGCTCCAATACCAACCATGATTGTCTACTTCAGTACCAACCAATGTTGTTATCTAACAGGGCTCCCTCAATTCCCCTGTTTTGGACATCCAACAGTGGCGATCTTTTCAATGGACACCACACGTCAATTAATCAACTTTTGCTTTGGGGAACTCCAGTGACCAGTGACATTTCCCTCCCCCTCAGAAAGGAGCAACCGCCCTTTCGAGGCGTGCGCGGTGCCCCACTTGGACCAGCGACCCCCTGTCAAAAGCAAGTAACTTGTGACAAACCCCACACCTCTAAAACCCAACCAACATAAACTCTCCAAGTTTCTTAAAGAACCAGATAGTAACCTCTGGTCCCCGGAGCCCACCTCCCCCCGCCTCCCCCCACCGCCCCTTCTCACCCCATCACCTCGTCTCAGTCCGGGCGCCTGGGGGAGCCCGTGGCGCTGCCCGCGGCCGGGCTGCGCGAGCTGCTGGCCACGGCCGCGCGGCAGGCGGCGGGGGAATCGAGCGCTCGACTTTTCCGAAGCGCGCGCGGTGGATCGCGGTGGAGGGCGCTGATTTCGGCCGGGGGGTGATCAATATGCCATTTCTGGACGGCTATGGGGAAATCAGTTTTTTTTTTTTTTTTTTTTTTTTTTTATTGGGGAATCAGTATGCCATTTCTTGCTATTAGTTGGATCTTTAGAACTCTGACTTTTGTGGGAAATCAAGGGTTGGTCCACTAAACCACCAAAAAGTTAAACTGGTATTCCCTACGTGTTGATCAATATTCCCTACGTGTTTGAAGCTACACCTGGCATTCTTCTGGGTGCTAAGTCGGAGGTCTGGATCAAACAACAAACTTTACCCATCCATTTAGGGCCCCAGTTTTGGAGCAGTGGTGTGACTTGTTCATTTTTGAGGTGGTTCCCTGATGGTCATCCCATGTGAAGGTCCTGTACGCCACTTCCATTTGCCGAAATGAATATGCTTCTTAGTTTCCCCTGGTTTGAAGGGGAATCTATCACTACTGGGAATAGGTTTCTTGTGTTCTGTTTCCTGGGGGTGAAGCAAATGGAAGACCATGTGTGTTGGGGTTGTCGACTTCTGTGATACCAAGGATTTGAATCCCCAACTGGTTGTGGTTGTCCACAAGCGCTAAGATGTTTCGGACGTGTTGTGTTGAGACAACGGGTGTCAGACTCCAACCTGAAATTATTAGTGGGGACGCTTTGGAAATATGGGTCAATACATCAGCCGGCTTTCCAAGATCTGAATCTGTGCGTCTGAATAATCTGACCTTTGCCTGCGTGATTTGCAAGTTTCCCAGGGCGAATATACAGGTACCGCGTGGAATGCATGAGACTAACGGTCGTTTTCGTTGCTGCGGAGCCATGATGCATTATCTGAGCAACTGACGAAGTTGTTGGTAGTTCTACTGTTGGTTTGGGGAGGACACGGAGAGACAAAACGGGGTTTCTTGCCCAAAAGCAGAGGGGACAACCCAACGTTCCCGTCTCCTCGTGCTTTGTTGAGGTATATAAGTGTGTTTTTTCCAGTACAGAAACGCGCTGTAGACATCAGAAAGGGGAACTGAGATCTTAGGTCTTCGCCACGCCGCCGCAGCTGTTTGGCCAATAAATAGAGTCCTAAAGCAGGAGCTTCAGCACAAATCGCCTTGCATGTTCATAGGGCAATCTGTGCCCCAGACAAGATGCGTCTGAAAATCACCTGATTCACCAGGTACAGCGACCTCAAGGGGTTTGGGACCTGATTGTCTCATCCCCTTAACTAATGGTTTGGAGAGAAACATGAGTTTTTTCCACCACTTTGCGGTTTACCTCGCTTGATTGCTATTGGGTTGGATCTTTAGACTTCAACTTTTCAACTTTTATGAGAGAATCCAGGAATTGTCCCTTAACCCACCAAAAGTTAACCTGCAGAGGGGTCGTTCCAGCCAGCCTGCGCCTGTGCCCACCGGACCGCGCGAGCGCTTTGCAGCCGCGGCCAGCGGCGCCATGGGCGGCTGCTTGGGCTCCACTGCCACGCGGCTGGGTGGCAGCGAGGCGGCGGCGGCGAAATGGCCCTCTGAGTGCACGGAGCAGCTGCGGAAGCAGAAGAAACAGCTCAGAGCGTGTCTTGCTGATGATCAGTGTGGCTCAAAATGAACCAGGAGGGGCAAACCGCAGGTTTTGATCCATGTGTCCATTTACCAGGGTTCCATTGTACCGGTTTTTTGAGCCACAGGCAGATGGGTTTAGTCCGGTTTAGTGCTTGGGTTCTCCACTGAAACTGAAGGCTCTGAGTTGGTTTAGTGGGGTGTACGTTGGGCATGATTTTTCTTGGGACCTTCCTTTGGTCTGATGGGTGTGTTTGCTTCAAGCAGGGTCCCAAGACCCAGGCCATCATATGTAAGGTCTTGCAATCCTAGGGAAGCAAGTTCGTGTTTTTCAGCCGGAATGGATTTTGGACACCCTCTTTGGTTGGTATGTTGAGGAACCCCTTGCAATTTTCGGAGACACGGGAAAACTCTGTAATAAGGTCTCAAAGGTCTAAGAACTGTTGCCGCGTTGCAATTGGTTTCTTCACGGGGAACTCCAACTACTTCTCTTGCAATGGTTATATCTGGAGGCCAAACATGGGAGGCGTTTGTTCGGCAAGGGTAAATTGAACTATGCCCGAGATGGCCATTTTGGGGGTGTGACCTGGTTACAACCATGGTTATGAACAACCTGCAGCAGGTATTATGAGACGAACTCCAGGATTTTTTTTTCCGGAGGGGGCGGAGGGTAGAAGCAGTTTTATGATTATGACTTTTATAGAGCGACTGGGGCTAGTTCCCTGACATCCATGATCATGCGTATAACCTATGGCGGTTCTTGGACCTGCAAACTTTTGGACTCTTCAAGTGGATTTCCGTGACATACCCCGTGATAAGTTTGTCACTGTTCGCGCTCGTGATTTACAGTCTCGGACCGATTTAAGGTTCGGCAGTCGCCTTGCTGTACAACGAGATCCTGATCAACAAGGGCTCCTTGATACTTTTGGGGGCAAGATTGAGTCTGATGATTGGAAGCACAAGGACGTGGTGTATGTGTGAAGGTTCAGATTGCTTGCAGTTGTCGTGGAGGGTAGGAACATGTCGTTTACAAATTGCTTGAAACACTTTGGAAGTGAATGTTTAAGACAAACGGTGCACATGCCAATCTGGGCAAACAAGAAAACAATCACAGAAAGTACATCCACTTTCGCCCAGGCGGGGGAGTTTCGACCTGGCAGGATGCGACCCTGCGTATACGCTTCACCCGCACCCTAGAGAAGGCTTTGCCGGCATGTGCCAATGAAGGCGCGCCCACAGGTGGTTCATGACGATTCACGCTGAGCCAATTGAAAGGCTTGCATGTTGCTATGTGGCTGTGGGTCAAAACCAAAGGTACCCCGGGTGAACATCAAAATAGGTTGTACATGGGTGTTCGTCCGCCACAAAATGGAGGACCCATGGCCATGTGGCGCTACCGTAGCTTTCATTCGGAAACTTGCAGTCAACAAATAACATGGCCGGTGAAAAAAATATACTAGTCATCGTGCAGGGTGGTTCATGGCATACTTTCAGACCCTGCCAGGCACCCTCGCTCAGCTGAGCCAACTGCTTGCTCCGATGCCTAGCGACGACCCTGAGGAGCGCGTGTTTTATTGCGCTATCGCGCTGGACACACCGAAGGTGAGGAACAAGCTCAGTGGCGCGGACGCAGAATGGCGAGGTGTCTTTATTTGAGGCTTAGCACCCTGTTCAGCCTGGTTTAAAGGGAAACCCAAAGGAAACAACGATCAACTCCCCCCCCGGTATTTAAAGCATTTGCCAGACTACTAAGCTCATCTGCTTGACGTTTTGCTTGTTTGGTGTTCCTTCATTTTTCCATGTTCAACACGAAAAATCAAATGGCAGAGGGTTTTAAGTTTAAGTCTGGAGCAGAAAAGATGACCAACCACCAACGTCGCAACGTGAGGAGCATAGTTCAGTTTCCGTTGGTGTCCCTTTGCCAAGTGTCTACGTCTCGGGACCGACGAACCCTGACCATAGAAAGCTGCACGGAATCCATCGAAGATGTTTCCGCACCATCGGGGAAATCATAACATAAGGCCTCTTGGCCTTACGTTAAGCTACTGCTCTTACTCACTTCCTGAGTTGATGGACTTTAAGCTTTTTGGAAAGACCATTTTCGTGGTAAATAACAAGTTCAGACTTTTTTTTGGCCGGTCAACTTGGGAAGTGAGCTTATAATGGCACAAAAACGTTTCGCATCGCTGCCGGTTGCTGTTCGCATCGTGGTTCCAGGCAGCGAGTCCAGCTGGAGATGGGACAGTGACATGAGCTTCGAGATGGTGGTGGGCGATTGTGTCCCCTGCGTGGACGAGCCAGGCTGGTTGGCTGGTTGGCTGGTTGAAAGATGGGGAAGAGAGAGGCCACGGGTTTTGGTGAAGATGGTGTTTGTTTGTTTGTCCGGGTCCTTTTGCGCGGAAGAGTCCCACAAGAGGCTCCCTGCGTGAGCCATCCAAAAGAATTTCCCTGTGCCACTTTCTGTGAACCAAGGGAATCTCAAGGGCATGTCTTAAGAAAGGGGGGACACCGGCCATTTTGAGAGTCTCCCAAAAACCCAAAAGGACACAGGGCTGGGACTCCCACCTTGGCATGGGACTCCCATGGCCAGGGCTGGTGCTTCATCGCGTTGGCTGGAAAAGCAAAGGCCGAGTCTTCCGCGAGCGCGGCCACGACTCTGATTGGGGCTTTGACAATGTCTACACCAAGGCGAAAGCGCAGAGCACGTTGAAGGAGGCCTACGTCTTTGCGATCAATGTTGGCGCAGAGAATTTTAAAGACTAATGAGGAGACCGAAAACCGTCCTTTTTGCAAAAGAAGGCGCCTGGTCCCGAAGGGGTCCCGAGATTTGCCTGTTTGGTGGATTCAAACATCACCTTTTCGGCCGGAATAAAGGATGATGTTTATAGGGGAAATCCGGGTGTCTCAAAATAGGGACCCAACAAATTATGGTTTTTCCTTGGGTTTCCCATTCAGCGGAGCCCTCAAAAAGACATTACACACATACCCATATCGGGAACCCTGCCTCATTGTCTCACTTCTATGCTGACTGGAATTCATGCATGCCAAAAAGCCCGGGCTGCGACCCAGCCAATTCTTGAGGGATACCAAGGTGCAGAGTTCCGTCTTCTGATTTCAAGGTGAACGTAAACCCAGGGGTCACCTCCCACTTGAGGAAATCAAGGACCCCCGCGTTGAAGTCAGCCCTGTCTGCGAAAACTGGAAACATGCTAATTATGCCGAGATTTCAGACCGCGGTACGAAACTATCTGTAGGACATTGGAAGATAGTCCTGCACATCATGGGAGCCCAAAGAGGGACTCCCCCAAAAAAGATTCTGAAGAGAAAAGTGAACCACGTGTAGGACACTTGGTGTCGATCTGGTGTCTCCAAAATATGCTGTGGAACCAGGCATGACTTGAGCCTGACCTCCGAGAAGCAACAAGTAACGGAGAGAAGGTGAAGAGTTTGGTGGAAGGCACCCTTCGGAATGTTCCTTTGATCCAATTTTTTGAGAGACCAGACCTGAATGCCTGTGTTTTGAGCAGGTTGGATACGATCCAAGCTTCGCTGTGCTTTGTGGAAGCGCTGCAAGCTCAGAAGGGCATGTGATCGTTTAGATCTGGAGGTAGTGTGGAGTAGTGTGGATGGACAACACCCGCAGGTAGGTGGTTTACACCAGTATTCGTATCGGTTCATCCATTTTGGCTGGTGTGGATTGAAGGACTTTGTCCAGCCAGACCCATGCCGAAGTTATTTTATTGAGGGGGATGTCTTAATCGTCTGCGACGGTTTAACGGGTGGTTCAGGAGTCTCTTGAAAATAGGAGAACAAACCTGTGCTAGAAATTGTCGTGTAATCCTATCATTTGGCATTGCCGGACTTGACTCACCTGTTGGACTTTCTGTCCGTTTGGGCTTCCAATTCCAGCAAAAAACGTTGCCGACCAAATTTGCAGGGGATCCAAGTTTAGCCAATGATCGTTTTCGCAGATGCGATTGGCCTGAGAAGACGCAAATTCCCCATGAACCCAACGCCAGCCCTGGCCCGGAACGGAATGACGAAAAAACACGTGGCCAATGACTCAGTCCGCGAGGGCCAAAGGGCTTTTCAATTCACAACAAATGAAAGTTGGAACAAAACCAGGCGATATTATGTTTGGTCAACATACAACCGAAGCCTATTTTGATTTGTGTTGCGTGTTCGAGCACTTGTGTGTTTCGTGTGCCCAGGCGGGAGTGTCCCGGCTTCTGGCTGCCAGCGATCGCTTGCAGGCCGTGGGTGAATTCGGAGCCGCGCATTTCGGGAAGGGGAGGCACTGACGATTCCTGACCGGCAGGGGTTGATCAAAAGGTCTATTTGCATGGGACGACCATTGGAGGAACCCACTAAAAGAAGTGATATTTGCCACTAAATGCCAAAAGTGACCCATGGTCATTTGGATCAACCCCCCATGTGGGGAATATAAACTCTCGGGAGAAGTTGTTTGGCATGAGTACTTGCTCCCTCAGCTCTTGGACTTCAGTTAATTAACACCAGTGTTGAAGGGCAAACAACCTTTCGTTGTTGTTCTGTTTTTGTTTGTTTGTTTTTCTTATCTTTTTTCGGACGATCAATTCAGGAAGGGAGCACAAGATCCGAGAACTGTCAAAGGCTTAAAGAAAAAAGCGCGTGCTTTGCCCCAGCCAGGCCACTGGCACAAAGAGACGTCGCCCGCTCAGAATGTTTGCGCTAAGGGACACCAGAAGGAAGGCGGGGGGGGGGGTGATTTTGTCTTTCATTTGGGAATGAACCTGGGCATTCCCTTACGGAAAACCACCAGTTGGATGGTTTATAGGGGTTATTCCCTCATTCCCTACTGAGAATTAGTAAGTTAAGAACATGTTCGGTTTTCCCTGTCAGAACTCAAGCGAATCTATCACTACTGGAATGTTTTTTTTGTGTCCGGGGGACTTGAATCCCAGGCGCCGCCTCTTGGAAAAGTACCAAACAGGGCCCCGAGAAAATGACAGATCGAGCATGAAAGAGAGAGGAAGCTGTCGAACGCTGAGGTCGGACGATGGAAAGCAAAGATATGTGAACCAGCGGCAAAAAATGTTGATTCGGCTTGCATGAAGAATGAACTAGCAGAATAATGTAACATATTGTGATTAAATTGGAATTTTTATATGCATACACATAATACATGTAATGAGGCTGGATAATAATCCCAAACCTGTTGATTTCAAGGGTATTTCCTTGGTGGCCCAATCCACGGTTTTACTTGAGAAAGCAATAAAGGGACCGACCGACAATGTTGAAGAGTTGCGTTCAATGTTCGTTGATATGATGTTTATATTGAATGAATACATGGAATTGTTTGACTTGTAGCTGTTAAGACATGTTTTGTATTTATCAGATTGAAGCTGAAAAACACCCCGTTGCATATCTATTTGGAGGGCTGTCCCCGGGCAACTTTGGCCACATTGAAAAGGCCCGCGTCAAAAGGGGCTGATGTAAGCCACAGACGCCACGGAGACCTCGGGATGCGGCGATGGCCCAAATGCTCAACCCATGCCACTGTTTGCAAACCAGATGTGCAACAGAGTAGCAAGATTAGTTGTGGCCCAAAAAAAATTTGGGTCCTATGATGTTTGGTGAGACAAGCTGGCGATAGACGCATATTGGAGAGGTCGGCTTTACAAGTGGCATATTGGCATTCTCAGCGAGGATAAACTCGCCACACCTTGCAACCAGGGCGTCGAATCCTTTTTTGTTTGTTTTTTGCCGTGATGCCAGCCATTTTGGCTGGACGGGCATGAGGATGCAATGAGGTGCATCCCGACGCCGGCTCGGCAGGGCCTGAGTTTCCTGGATACCGGTGCCATCCATGAACTCCTGCAGCGCTTGCCAGAGCATCTGACGCAGGAGGCCCTTGCTGACTTGCGGCGACGCCTGCAACCCGAGACTCGGAGCAAGGTGTTTTGTCCTTAGGCAGTCCAGGGTGCTCATCAGCTTTTTCCAAGTTTCGACAATTCTGCATGGCGTTTGAGCCAAGTTGTACCTATTAGTGGGCAAACACGTGGGATCTGCTTGCCAACAAATTTGCGCACACTTAGTTGTGGCCGTGTTATAATTGTCCAAAGATGTAGAGTCAATGTAGAGTATCATTTTGTTTGGGTAAATGCAAAGTCAGGAAGTCTTGGCGTGGTGCCAACATTGGGACACAGATGATGGAGCTCTGGAGCCTGAGGAGCCTTTGAGCAGCGATGAGGAGCTGACAGACGAGCCGAAGAAGCAGAAGCGAGTTCGGCTAGCCCCTCCCGTGCCCGAAGACGGATACCCCAGCCATCTTTGGGGCACCGGCTGGCGCCAAGGGATGCCAGGCTTCAATGAGCACGCGCGGCTGGTGCTGAGCAAGCTGAGAGAGATGAAGTGGAAGCCGCCGACCCAGGGGGAGGTGGAATTGCTGCAGCAGCAATGGGTGGTGGCGTCTCTCATGCACCCGGCCTCACCGGTGCAAAGGTTGCTCTGCGACCACAACACGGGGTCGGGGAAAACCCTGTGCATGATCCGGATCATGGACAACTTTTTTTTCGACCCACGTGCGAAGCTCGCGATATTTCCGAAGGACTTTGTTTCGGGAACTTCGCTCCATCTTTCACAATAGCCTGCGTGAGGTTTGCAACTTGCATTTCCTGGCTTTTGGGGTAGCGACTCGCAAGTAAGCAGCATGAGTAGAGGCCTTCAAGAAAAACCGAATGCTAGCGGCCAGGGAGGCATGGGCCCACTTGTAGCTTGCCAAGTTTGCGAACGTAGAGCACGCGGTTCCGCAGCAAAACCCCCGAAGGACTCGGTTGTAGACAACTTTTACTCGGCCCTGTGGGAGTGGCCCAGCCGTTGGCGGGACTACTGCTGCCACCTGGCGCCAGCGGCTGCGGCGCTCGCCTGCGGCGGAGATTGGCGGCGCGCGCGGCACGCCCGGTGGCACTTGGCCGGGTCCCAGGCGTTGCTCCAGCGAGCGGCGGTTGAGAAGTGGGGCCTGCAGAAGGCCATCAAGGACCGTCAGGGCCGGTTGCCGCCAAGCGAGCGACGGTTGCATTCTTGGAACCCTGGTCTTAAAGATGGTAAACCAACACTGGGTGTGTTTATAAATGCGCTGTTTGCCGTCGAGTCGGCAATGGCCTCCTGTTCTCAACAACCCCCCGGTGTGCAAGTTCTGTTCCATTTTGCTCAATTCCTGTGTGACATCTCATGCTGCATTTCACGACCGTTCCCTGTAGTAAGTCACGGCGCCTTTTGACAACAAAGCCCACGTGATATTCTCTCTCTCCATCCCGCACAATGCATCGGTTTCTGTGTTAATTTTTTGGTCACGAGGTCGTGTGGGCCCCTTCTCTCGACTTATCTGCGTGTTAAAAGCACGCACATCGCGATGTTCGAAGCACTCCCGTGCGACACGATGTGTTTCCCCGAGCGCACCGCGGAGGTGTTTGTTCCCCTGGAATCTCTCGCGCCGGCTTCCTCAGAGGACTCGCGTAAAAAACAACTAGAAGGTCTCAGAGATGCCCATAGAACTTGCGCGAAAAACTTTCTTAGAGAGAACTGAGAGAACTGCTTGTGACAAATTTGCTCAAAGAAACTTGCTGGCTTGCCCAGAGAACTTGCTGAGTTGCTCCGACAAGTTGCTCTGAGAAACTTGCTGAGACCTTGCTCGGAGAACTTGATCAGAGAGAAAGGTGAGAGAAGCGAAACTCCATCCTAAACCACCCACAGGGCAAGGGCTCTTAGTCTTATCCCGATGTGCGGCACGCACATTCCCACCCCCACCGTACAAAGACTTCATTCAGGTTCAATTTTTGCACACAGCGCCAAACTAGTCACCGGCGAGGCGCGTATCCTTGCAGCAAGGGTTTTTGCTGCATAGTTTTGGCGTTTGAGCCGAGAGACTGCTGAGCGTTAATTTGGAGCATGGCGCAGCCACGTATCCTTTGGACAATTTGGCGTTTAGTTCGCACACAAATGAGTTCGCACGGTTCTCTCGCATTTTTGGGTTGTGTCTCCAATCCATATTGGCCCTTAGCCATGTTGGCCCTCTTTGCAGTTGCTCGAGTTTTCGTAGCGTGTTTGCTGGTTCTCCGCCTTCAAGTTGGGGGTTGCATCCGCTTCCTCCAGGAGCTGTGCGTCAAGCCGATGCGCGAAGCCTGCGAAATGAAACGGGCTTTCTATGGTGGGAAACTTGGCTGAGATCGTTATGTTTTCCAATTCTGGACAACATGTCAAGACTGTTTCTTCCAATTATAATGAGTGAATACTCACTCATTCGCTGAGTTCAGGACTTTGAACTGTTTTTAAGCAGGCCATTTTAGTGGAAACAGACTGTTTGGAGTTTTCTTGGCCAGTCCACTCAGGAAGTGAGAACAAAGCGCCCTTGTTCTAGCCGCTTTTTTCCCCAGTCACAGGAAAGCCCGCGAGTCCTTCATCGCCAGTTTCTGGCAGGGAGCTGACGGGGATGACGTGCACCCTCCCGCAGCGCCCTTGCGAGCTTATCGGTTCACTTCCGCTGGGGGGCAAGCGGCCGAGGTGGTCGATGGCGTGCCAAGGGGCTGCATCTTCAAAGTGGGTTTTGATGAAGGCAGTGGAAACCCCTACTCCGGCAAGGTCCGGGGTCACCGGGGTTCCTTTTTGTTCAGCAACTTTTGATATTGCCTTCTTGCTGGGGTTCGAGTTTGCGTAGAGCTCTGTCAATGTGGAAGCCTGAAGGTGGTGATTATGGACGAAGGCCACCATCTCACGCGACCGAACATGATTTACCAGCAGCAGCTAGATAGGCTCAGGGAGTATGTGGAAAGTGCGACTGGCTCAGTGTTTGTGAGCTGCACTGGATCTATGGAGGCAGATTCGGCGTCCGACCCACGCATGCTGCTTGATGCAGTGAAGGGCCAGCTCAATCGCCAGTGCTCAGATGAAGGTTTCCTCTCATCCCACCACAAGCGCGGCCCAAGCTTCCCTCATCAGTCTCCAGCACCTTGCGCGGAGGGTGTGTATTCAGACCAAGTGCAGCGCCAGGTGACCACCTATGTGGAGCTCAAGGGCGTGTCGTTGGTTCGATATGTGTATCAGGCCATGAAGCTCCAAAGGGAAGGCAAGCCGAAGGACACGCTGGCGAATTACACCAACATTTACGTGTATGCCGGCTCTTCAAGCCAACCCAGTTGCCAGCAAACTCTCCTATACAACCCCGATTCCAGGCCGAAATTCGCGCCGGCAATGCGCACGGTGATAGAGGCTGCAAAGAAGAGGCAGAAAAGTCTAGTCATGATTGGCAGGAAGACTGGCTACAAGGCTTTGCTTGCATTGATGCATCATGAAGCTGATCAACATGGCTTCGGCGTTGCAGAGTATGAGCGCCTGGGCACGCAACAGTGTAGGGCCTTGTGAAAATCAGCTTTTGTAAAGGAGTCTAACTCAAAGCACAAAGCGCGCCCTTGACATTCAGTGTGCAAATCTTCTCTCCAGATGCTTGTGGTTCATTTGGCATTTTGTTTTGCTCTGACATGCTGTGACATATGCCTTCTGCAGGAGGGGGCTTTTGGTTTGAAACATACGGGATTGACTCTTATTGACTGTCCCTCAAGTGGGTCGGTTTGGTGGGAGGCAAAACCAAAAGGAAAACGGATTTGGTTTGGGGGTCCCGTTTAAAAACACACCCAAGAAATTGTTTCTCCTGCTCATGCATTCTAATGCAGAAGAGGGAGGATTCTGTTCTCTCACTTTCGATTTGTTTGGCACACGAAATGATTTTCCCAAAAAGCGAAACGTTTAGAGCAGCACAATTTGCGCAATGAAGCCGAAATCACCCTCGGGGCAAGGCTTGTTTGAACACGAGTCCTTTTTTGTTAAATGAGTCCCTTTCTTTCGAGCCACCTCCAAAACTGGTTTCCCTAAAGGGCAAGGCCTCGTTGCTTAAACGTTGCCCAACCCGGTTGAAACCACCCCCCCAAGAGCAATTTTGCGAATCCTGCAAAAGCTTCAAGGGCCCCAGTCTGGGAACCTAGCACCCCCGACCCTCCAAGAAGGGCTCTTGGAATTACATGTTGGCAGGGGAACCCGAATGATTTGCCAGCTTTTTGGCCGCATTTTGCCACATCAAACGGTTGCCACTTAAAGGGCCCCAAGTACAGGGTCATGTTACGCTCGGTGTTTCTTTAACGTTGAAACAACTCTGGAAAAGGGCAATTGCCAAGGAACACGCTGATGTAGTGAGCTGCCCTGTGACCCTTCACCCAGGCAAATGGCTCAGTTCAACCAGCGGAGCAACCTGCAGGGGCAGCACTTTATGGTGATGGTTTTGGAGGCAGCGACTTGGCTTCAGTTGGTACCCGAGGCAGGTATGGTCATAGGCTGCAATTTGGGAATTTAAGCATTCAGGTCAGTGTGAAACCGCTAACTCAGGGGAAGTGTTAAGGTTGGTACGTCTGGAACTTCGGTGGAGGTGTTTTTATGTTGAGGCACATACATGTTGCACTTGCTCTTGGGGTGCCTGTTCCACTTTGCAGGTTCGCGGCTGTTGGTTCCACCATAATTCAATCAGAGGTGTGTCTTGAGCTTACTGAGGAAAAGGGGGGCGAGGGCATCGAATTTCTGGCTGTTCGCCATGCCATCTTCCTGGATGTGCCCTGGCGGCTCGCAGACTACAAGCAGCGCTGCGGGCGGGTTGTTCGATGCGGCAGTCACAACGGCCTGTCGGAGTCGGAACGCACCGTTCGCTTCAGCTTCCTCGCCGCAAGGTTCCCAGAGTTTGCTCGAAAGGACCTGGGGGCCTTTGCTCTCTTCGCCTTTTGCGGCTCGCATTCAATCCAAACATTTCTTCTTTTGTTTGCTTGGTGTTGATCAATTTGTTTTCTGTCTCGAAGGTGAGCCTTGACTATTTTGTGCTACTGGCAAATGAGGCGGCCAGTGGGGTGGACCGAAGACGATCCGGTACACTTCCGAGCCCCCGCCAGAGGACATCATCAGTGCCAGCCAGGAATTCGTCCGGCGGTGTGCTATGAGAGGCATTCAAAATTTGCGGGTGCTAGCTGAGGCCGATCACCTTAGTGAGGACGATTTAGTGGATGAAGGCATTTCTCAGAAGTTGCGCTCACGTTTGGAGGTGGCCTTGGATGAGCTGCGTGAGGATGCCCAAAGTGTGCGGGGCGTTATTGCAACTGATACCTTTGATGAGGAACACATGGATAAGCTGAAAATGCAGTTCTGCAACGTGGCACCTGCATTGGCGAAGATCCGTGGTGGCGCGTTGGATGTTGGCTTTTACTAAGGGGAGCAATGACTCTTGCGGGGTAACAGGAGGTCAGTGCAAACAACATGCTACGCCGAACACGGATTTGCAACGAACACGTGGAAGAGGGGAAAAAGGATTTTAGCGAGCTTTTGCATCGCTCACTCATATCATTAATCAATTATAATGGAACTGTTTCTTCATAGGAATAGATGGAATGGTTGGATTGTTTTGATATATGTTGTTAAATGTATTTGTACACAAGCGTACTTGTGAGTGTAACAATGGGGATAGATAATGATTGATGGAATTGAGAAAGTTTTGCGAGATTTGAATGATTATATTTATAGGAAAATTATGAATATTAATAAATAATTTGTATGTAATTTATTGTTTGTGATTTTGTGAATTGATGATATTTGATATATATTTTTATATATGTATTATGGAATGGTGTTTTATTGTATATGGTAATGTATTATATGTTTGATTAATGTATTATATAAAATATATATATATATATATTGATAACATATAATTGAAAATCAATAAATTGTATATTAAAAAAAGATGTGTAATTCAATTGATATTGAATTATTATTTTGGTATGATAAATTTTTATATAAGGAATTTGAATTATTTTTGTTGAAAAATGTTTTTATATAGTTAAAGAACGAAATAGGATTTTATTTTATTTTTTAAAATGAGAGGATGATATTTTGGTAATTGTAGTTTGATAGAATGTTTTGGATTGAAGCTTGTTAGATATAGTGTAGAATAAAATGATTTAATTTGTATTTTTTATATTAAGATTATTTAGTATAAATTTTGATTAATTTTATGATTTTAATTGTTTATGAAGAATTAATACAATTGGTGTAATCAAGATTTTTGGGCAATGTTTAATTTTGATAATTCTTTATAGAATTTAAATGAATATTGGCATAGTTTTTTTTTTTTTGATATTATTTTTTAATAATAATTTATTTAATGAAAGAATATACGATACGAACTAAGAAATAAAGGAAATGATAAATTAACCAATTTATTTCTTTAATTTTTTAAATTTTATAGAAAATGATAAGGTATTGAAAAATAAAATAGGGGAGGAAAAATTAAAATTATAATATATTAATAAAAAATAATATTTATTTAATATGATTAGTTTATAAATATTTATATACTAATTGAAATATTTTTTAGATATTGTTTTATTAGGGTTTTTATATTTTGGATTTTATTAATAATTTTATTATAATTTTTATTAAGATTCTATTATGGTTGTATTAAGGATTCTAATAGGATTTTATTAGGATTTTATGAGGATTATGGGGTGATGAAAGAATATTATATGTTATTTGGTAAATTGTTTATATTTATTTTATTATCGGATATATAAATTTATAATATATTATATTAATTATTGTTTTCTTTTAAATAATTGAAAAATAAATAGAGATATTGTTTTTTTAATAACATAATAATTGTCGGGTGTTATAGAGTATGTAATTTCGGGAAATGGTGGAGGTGTTGTTTTGCGAGATTGATGAATGGGTATTAGATTTGGTTTGGGATATTGATAAAGGATGCATTTACGAGAGTGATAATTGGATGTTAGGAAGAATGTAATTTGAGTATGATTCGTTTTGCGAGATGGATGGCCGAGTGCTAGAGGGGGATATAGTTCTGGGCGCTGGTTGAGGTGTTGTTTGGTGTTTATATTGTTTAAAATATTGATGGATAATATTTAGATGGTGTTTTGGTGTTGGTGAGATTATGAGTGCAATTTTTCTAAATTGCCGGCGGATATTAGGGAGCGTATAGTTAGGACGGTGGTGTAACTGTTGTTTTGGGTTGTTGTATTATTAACTATATAGATATATATTTCCAAAATAATTCAAAATTTCTAGAAATTGTAATTTCTATCAAAGAAAGGGAATTGTTTTGCAAAATCGACGAATAGGAGCTAAAAGGTATATATTTTGGGGTATTGGCATCAGCATAATTTTAAGATGCCGTTCGGATTGATAATAGTACGTGAGAGCAAGGTTTTCGGAGACATTGCTGACACGGGTGTTACGTTGGGGATGCTAATGGGATTTTTATCTTGAGGTATTGGTGACGGCGTAGGCGCATATGAATGGCAATGTGCTAAGACGGGTGCTATTTATGATATTGTTGGCCTAGTTAAAACGTTGTTGCTGCTCTAATTGTCGTTTATGATAGTATCTGGTTCGTGGCTGATATGTTATTATGATATTACCATCCGTGTTATAATGGTGATATTACGATATAGCATTGTAGCTCGTGGGGCGCCATGACTACTCAGGATAATGTTAAAATTCATCATGCTGAGATGAGAAGATTCGTGGTTATAATATTATTATGATGCTACCTTTACCATCTCCATGATTGTGTTTACAGCACCATAATTCTATTCATAATATAATAATAATACGGACAGTATCACGATACTATTAACATCATTATAATTTTGCAGGAACCATTATGATGCTGCATAATTATGCGTAGCCGTGATGTACTATCTAGGGTCTATACTAATGTAGTTAATTCCTTGAATCAATATATAGTCAATTAGAATTATATAAGCAAAAAATGGTAATTAAATTTCATATATAAATATATATATATATACATAAATTTATTCGATTTTCGCAAAATGAAATGGGTTGTATGGATTGAGTTCGGCATATCCATCTAATATTAGACGACGATTAATTAGCCCAAGCCCCCCCCCAAAAAAAAAACACATACACATAATCATAAAATATCCATATTAATAATATAAAAAATATCCGAAATATGTCTATTATCTAGAGCAACTACAATAATTCACAATAAATTCCGGAGTGATCATACAGGATTAATATACCGCTAGCTCAATATGCCGTCATAAATCAATCCCGGCCCGATCGGCCCGTATGACAACTACGAATTTTGCAAGCAGATAACAGAACTAGATGCATAAATAATATATTTTAAATCTTTGAGTACAACAATATCCCAGTGCCCCATCGTCTCCGCAACCACAAGGATGAAGGATACTCTCTATGCTCGGCTGCCGAGATGCTTCGCCTTATTGTATAAGCCGCAGCGGCAGCTCCGTTTTGTTGCCCGCCAAGGCTGGTTATTCTTGTTACGAAGGTGTTATCATGGCAAAATTAATCATAATAAAAGACCCGGCGAAGGCCGGCATATAAATATTGGTTAGATACCAACGAGCAACTCCAATATCTTAAATTGCTAAGGAAGAAATAGGCCGATATATTCTTTATCGGGTTTTAATTATCGAATTTAAGGCTCGACTCGGTATTCCTTACTCTATCAATAATTAAGTGTGCCCGCGCTGCGGTAGGGAATTGTACAAATATAATTTCCATATGATTTTTTACTAAAAAATCGTGTTTTTAAATGCATTTATAAGGATGGATAAAAATGCGGTTCCCTTATATTTTTAGATCGTCGAATTATAAGTATCGTCCAAGGTAAGGGCCGGATAGAATAATTCGGCATTAATGGCTTGCAAAACATCAATAATATCCGGGAAATAATAACCCTTTGAAGATATATTCTAACCTCAAGCTCGAAAACGGCCCCTTAAGCTAAGCCCAAAGACACAAAGAAAAACTACAATATGGGGGGGAAATCCGCCGAAGCCCAAGGCCTGCCTCAGCAAAGCCGCGATCAGTCTGCTACCATTATGTTTCCATAGGGTTATAATATACGATGTACACCATCCGACAGAGGCGTAAAAAATAAAGATTAATAAAATGCTTTTGAAATCCAAAATCTGGTTATTGGGAATATATCGTTATGGGAATTGTTTTGGTATAGATATACCGGTACTTCGTCATGATTAGTTTGGATTTAAATTCGACGAATATTTTTCGGACAATTGATTTTTATTTTTTTGTGAATATATCTATATATTACCTTGTTGAAAATATCGAAGAGGGAAGATTGTGTTTTTTTTTTTTGCAATTTTGAGTTTTTTAATGAAATTATCGAGAACATTATATTCGTGTATTAATATATTATTAATAATATAGTTAAAACAAATTATTAAAATTTATATAATAATATTAAAATGATATATATAATAAAGCCCCTCCATAAACGATACAAATATAATATATATATATATATTAAATAAATAACATATATTATAATATACATTAATAATTCTACTCAATATTTAATCGATTAGGGTTAAGGCTTCGAGAATCGTCCCTATTTAAGTGGAAGGAAATACCATTAGGAATAGAAAGAACAAAATATATATATATATATATATATCCCAATATAATAGCTTCCTGTTTGTTATATCGAGTCGTAAGCAAAGTGAATCAAATAAAACTCATTTGGCGGATATAGGATTATATTAATTTATAAATAAGGAAATAAATAATTATTTCAAATAAATATTGTATGCTTAATTACCTACAGCAAAAAAAGGCACCTCGCGCTCAAATCTATTGGGTTTCCAACACACATATGCTTTAAAACACTTAGCCAATCCCCTAAGAAGGGCGAGGAAATATCTACCAAAATGAGAGATATCAACGTCTCTTACGCTAGGAGGGGCATGCCGATACCTAGGAAGAATATATATAGAATTAATATAAATGCGGAAAATGGGTGAATACCCCACCATCAATTCAATATGTTTTGTCGATGATATATAAAATTACGTTCTCGCGCACAAATCCGGGAAATATGCGGCCAAAAATACGATTACCACAAAGCTGCTAAACGCTCTAGGGCGTTGGACTACAAACACTACACATCAACACGGACGAAAAAAAATTAGGAATCATTTTGCATTACGTCCTCGTTACATATGAATTGCCACACAACGGCTAACGCTTTCTATACAACATAACAAAAATACACACTAATCTCCTATGTCGGAGCTAGCACAAGAACCCAAACAAGTTTAGAACTACAAGCAGCTCTTCGTTAAGCATGGTCGCATCTCCAAACGACAATCGGTATAAAATTATATAAATAATTTTCATAACAAATAATTTCTATTTAAAAATCCGACAACTCAATAACATAGACCAAATTTAATACCCGTATAACAATCTACTAAAGACAACCGCTTTAAG